ATGAAAATGCAAATGAAGATTGTCAAAGAGCTATTTTACCTATAAAAGAGACAGGCGATGTTATGGGATATGCTCGAGCCTGTCGTAATGTTCAATCTAGAAAGATGCAACTTTTTGCTCAAACTTTTGCAACTTCTATAAATTCACAAAGAAGGACAGTTAAATCAAAAGTAAAATGTTTTGGTTGTGGCACCAAGGGACATATGAAGTGGCAGTGTCCTAAGGCACCGTCCTGGCCACCTGGTAAATGTCCCTGTTGTCGTCATGGTATGTATTGGGCTAAAGACTGTAGATCCAAGACAGATGTTGAAGGTAAAGTTTTAGGAAATAATCAGCCCTTGCCAACAACTCGACCACAGCATCTGGGAAACAAGTTTCAGGGCCTTCCCCGAGGCCCCTCACAAATGATCGGGGGCACCCAACCATCTTTTCCCTCTACCCAGCAACTGCTGACAGTGCAGCCGTGGACCTTCCCTCAACCATAACCATAACACTGACACCCTCTGATATTCCTTATAGAATACCTACAAGTATTTATGGTCCATTGCCTATAGGAACTTGGGGGTTGTTAACTGAGAGATCAAGTTTAATGGCTAAGGGATTATAGTTAGCCCAGGAGTAATTGATTCTGATTTTGAAGGTGAAATTCAAATTTTGATTACTACCAATAGCTCATATTCTATTACAATAGGGGATAAGATTGCTCAGTTGATTCTTCTTCCTTTTATACCTATAGGATCCTCTTCTAAAAAGCAGATTGGAGGGTTTGGAAGTACTAATCCTATTTTAGTCAATTGGGCTATGATGTTGCAAACAAAACAGCCTCATATTAATTTCAAACTTCAAGGCAGATCCTTTAAGGGTCTGATTGCTACTGGCTCTGACATTACTATTATTAAAAAAGATGACTGGCCATCTAATTGGACTACTCAGATGATGAAATGTGATATCAAAGGAGTTCGAGCTCGGCCAGTATCAGTAGCTAATGTTAGTGTAGAATATAAAACAATTTCTAGTATAGATGGACAAATGGCTGTTGTTAAACCTTATGTACTAGAACTTCCAGTAAATATTATAGGATCTATCTTGAATTTTGGGGAGCTTATTTGGTAGTTGCATAATTTTAATGTCTTTGTAGATAATGTCAAATATATCTCCTATAAAGATACAATGGAAATCTTCTCAGCCAATTTGGATCGAGCAATGGCCTCTATCAGAAGAAAAGCTACAAGCAGCTGAACATTTGGTCAACAAACCACTAGAAAAAGGCCTTCAGTATCTCCATGGAATTCGCCTATCTTTGTCATCAAAAGGAAATCAGGAAAATGGCAATTGCTCACTGATTTGCGAGCTGTTAATGCTTCAATGCATCCCATGGGAGCATTGCAGCCAGGGTTACCTCAACCTAGTATGATTCCTAGAGATTGGAAGTTACTTATTATTGTAGATTTGCAAGATTGTTTCTTTACTATTCCTTTACATAAAGATGATTGTCCAAGGTTTACTTTTTCTTCTTTACCTTATGTTAATCTACAGGGACCTCATCATCGATTTCAATGGACAGTGTTGCCTCAGGGTATGATGAATTCTCCAACTATATGTCAGATGTATGTTCCTCAAGCTCTATTTGGTTTATGTAAACAATTTCCTTCTATAATGATTATACATTATATGGATGATATTTTGTTTGCTACTAAAGATAATCAATTATTAAACAGTTTGCTTTATACAGTTACTAGACATCTTGCTGAGTGTGGATTAATTATAGCAGAGGATAAGAGACAAAGAGAAGAACCTTATCACTATTTAGGGTATGTTTTAAAATGGCAACGCATATATCCACAATTGGCACAAATTCGATTAGAGAATTTAAGAACATTAAATGATTTTCAAAGACTTTTAGGGGATATTAATTGGCTTCATCCTGTACTTGGTATTCCTACTCATAAGTTACACAATTTATTTCTAATTCTTCAGGGTGATCCTGCTCTTGATAGTCCTAGAGAATTAACACAATTAGCAAAGCAAGAGCTTGAATATGTAGAATTTGCTATAAAAAAATAAATTCCTGGAACGGGTAGATATTGGTAAACCTATTGATTTGACTATTCTGTCTACTCTTAATTATCCTACTGCAGTGCTGGCTCAATATGAGCATCCTTTAAATGGATAAATACCAAACACACGTTTCCTAAAACTCTCATTAAATATGAGGAACTGCTTGCTACATTAATTATGCAAAGTCGTAATAGGAGTATTACTATTAGTGGAACAGATATTCACGCTATTTATATTTCTATACCTCAAGATTATTTTCAGTTCTTGCTTGCACGAGCTGACGCATTATAAATAGCCTTAGCAGAATTTGTAGGATTAATACATTATAATAAACCTGCGGGCGCCTTTTGGCAGTTTCTTCAAACTCATCCCTTCGTAGCGAATTCAATTATAGCTGAGGTACCCATTGCTAATGCAATTGCTGTTTTTATTGATGGAACAAAATCAGGTAAGTGTGCTTTTTGGGTACATAATCAATTATATAAAGTTTTTATTACACCCTACACTTCAGCACAGCAAAACGAATTGCAAGCAGCTGTATACGCTCTTCAATATTTTCCTCAAGCTTGTAATTTAGTTACTGATTCAGCGTATGTTAGTTATGTGCTTAAGAATATTTTTTTGCAGTAATTTCTCAGGATAAAGCACCATTAGATACTCTCTTTACTTCTGTACAACAATTACTAAGGCAACGTGTTAATCCTCTGTATGTCATGCATATAAGTTCTCATAGTAATCTTCCTGGACCACTTACGAAAGGCAATGCTAGAGTTGATCTTTTGGTCTCTTTTGTTGATTCACAGGCTGATCATGATGCTAGACACACTAATGCTGGATTTTTACATAATTATTATAAAATACCTTATAGACAAGCACAAATTAACAAATTATTAGATGCTGTTCAGTGTGCCGTCCTTTACATCTTCGAACACTGCCCACTGGAGTTAATCCTCGTGGTCAACAGCCTAATGATTTATGGCAAATGGATGTCACTCATGTACCTGCTTTTGGAAGGTTGCAATATTTACATGTTACCATAGATACTTATTCTAAGTTTGTTTGGGCTACTCCTCTTACTGGAGAAACTACTAATCATAGTAGTGAACATTTATTGGCCTGCTTTGCTGTTATGGGCATTGCAACCACCCTTAAAACAGACAATGCTCCTACTTATACTAGCGGGCGATTTAGGAAATTTCTGGAGTACCATAAAATTAATCACATAACTGGAATTGAATATAATCCTCAAGGGCAAGCTATAATAGAATGAACTAATGGATATATTAAAATGTATATTAAAAAATTAAAAGGAAGGAATTACACACCAGATTATGAGGAATTTAGAACCTTAGGACATAGGAATCATAAATTGTTAATATATGAAATATTGTTTATTATTAACTTCCTAAATCCGCCCCACAATGGCGGCATTATTGCTGACTAGTAAATGTCAGCGTCATCAGGAAAGGTTATCACCTCCCACTTGGGGTCAGTTGAATGCCTTGATTTCTAAGGCTCGGTCTGTGGTTAGTCATACAAGAAAGGAGCTTACCCCAGAACATCTAGAACATCTATTTCTAGCTATGTGTGCTTTGATTACTTGCACTTCTGCTGCTGAAACTGAGGTAATATATTGGGCTCATGTACCTAATCCCCCTCTTCTCCATCCTTATACTTGGAAGGAACCTATCATAGTAGTTACAACTTTTCCTATGGATGTGTTGTCTCCACCTTATGGAACAGGTCAGCCAGATTATCCTAATGAAGAAGGGACTCTTTAATTATACTCAATTTGTGTCTCCTGATATTATGAGTTTTGGAATTCCTCCTTGTTATCCTATAAGACAGCAGGATTGGATCATTCCTGGTGGTACTTGGAATAGGAGTCGCACACGTATGGTGCGCCTCTCTGCTCAGTCTGTAAGTCCTGATTGGACAGAATATGAGGACACAGATGCCCAGCTATGTCAGAATGTGTAGGTTTTTCTTATAATCGTATAAATGACTATAAGCCTTTGGTATGGCAAAATTGTAGAGGAATGAAAGGAAAAACTTATAGGTCTCAAAATCATACTTGGATTGATCGGGGTCATTTGGGAAGTTGGTTGAAAGGTCATAGTGATTATAACAAGTCCAACCCATACTGTATCTTGAATGATACTGTTTCCATGAGTAATAATATAAAAAATGACAGACTTAAGGCTTGGGTGGATGGAGGAATAGCTAATCCTCGACCTCAGATAAGAATAGGATCAAGATTATATTCTCCTCAATTACATGTATGGAAATTATTAGCTGCCCTGAAGCCTGTGGATATTTTAAATGGCGCTTACTTTGGTACTAAATCTTCTCCCGCATATTACAATTTTTTTAAGGTTAAAACCTATAATGTTACGGCTTGTGTACATTTCCCTTTAGTAATATTAATAGGACCCAGAATCATACAGGGAATGAAGTTAACTTGTCAAAATTGTCGTTTATATACTTGTCTTAATAACTCTATATTGTTTAATCAATCTTTTGAATCAGTCATGGTTTTAACTCAACGAAATTCCTTATGGATTCCAGTGAAGATGTATCATCCCTGGGAAAGCAGTCCTGTTCAAGGACTAATTGTGTGATTTTTCAAAAGACTGTTATGATGAAGCAAATGTATGATTGGCTTGATTATTGCCATTATTTTGGGACTTATCGCTTTAGCTGCTACTGCTACTACTATTAGTGTAGCCCTTCAGAAATCTTTTCAGATGCAAGACTTTATTGAACATTGGCATGATGATTCTCATAAGCTTTGGACACATCAGGCTCAGATTAGCGCACAACTACAAGAAGAAATTGTGGCTTTACAAGGGGAGCTACATTGGTTGGGAAATAAGTTACTGGAATTACAAAAAACTATGCAATATGTTTGTGATTGGAATTCCTCTCAAATTTGTATTACCCTGTATAAATACAATGATTCTAAATATGAATGGGAAAATATAGAATTGTATATTCAAGATAAAATGGATAATGTAACTTTTAATGAGATACAATTACAGGAAGAGATATATGAGATATTTTCAGAAGAGATACCTTCTACAAGTTCTATTGATCAAGTAGCTACTACCTTAGCGAATACCCTCTCTGGTTTTGATCTTCGAGGACGGTGGCAAAGTTTGTCACATAGTCTTGGATCTTCAGCTGTTACTTTTATAATACTTTTATGTTTAGTGTTTATAGGGTATTGATGTGTTCTTGGAATCGTATCTCGCCTTACTAATAAGCAATCTGCTGAAACATTAATTACTGCTTTGCATTATCACAATGAGAAAATGAAAGCTGAAAATAATAGAGAATCACCTCCATTGTGAATGGTTTAGTGGGGTTTGTGGTAAATCAAGGATTGTATATAATATGAGATTGTGCTCCCTCGCTTACAAAGGCCGGTATTCAACGACTGGTAAGATCTTCTGGGAGAAAGTTTGTCAGGAGCCATGCTTGCCATAAGCAGTGGAAATTAGGAGAGTGTCACTTTAAGAGCTTCTGAGCTCTCTGCTTCAGCGGGCAGAGCTGACAGGCTGTACCTGTGTGATAAATCAGGTCTTCTAGAAAGTTAGTTTCGGTTCGGTCTGCGGGCACCGGAAGATTCAGCTACGTGCTGTATCCATAGTATCCTTTTTGTTTCTGTTAGGAATAATCACCTGGGTAACCCAAACTCTGGGTCAGATAAAAGGGACCTGTGGAACCCCTCTGTAGATTCTTCCTACTAGAGAGCTCTCTCCTACCTGTAGCTGCCTTTCTGTAAAGAAAGTCTTAGAAAACTTCAGACTTCTTTCTGAGTTCCTTTCTTGTTGAAGACCCAAGCCTGGTGGGCTTGGGGGGCGTTCGACAAAAGTTAACCTAAGACAGGGCGTAGCTGATGGAAGCTGCGTGCCAATTATGGGTAAGGCTTTGGTCTTGCAGAAGACAACCTAAGACAGGCACGGTCTTTCTGTCCGGGATATAACCTGATCAGGCATTGTAAAAAATAAAGGAAGGGGAATTGTGTAGGCCCGGGTTCTGATCTGAAGTAAACTCAGAGTGAGTTCAGATCTGAAGTAAAATCAGAGCTGAATCGGGAAGCCTCAGTTCCCTGAGAACTTGAATGTTCTTCTGCAGTGATTTCTACCATGAGACTGACTGTTCCTTGAACTCTATTAAACGTACATAAGGAAGCTTGTATAATAGAGCTGTGTAGCTAATAAAGTGATAAGTAAAGAACAGAATGTTTAATAGGCATGGAAGGACAGGTACGATTCCAAAAAGGGCTGAGCCCTGGGAACACAAAGGTACTGCAAATATCATAAAAGTACCGTAAACATCATGATGAGATAATTTGGCTTGAGAAGAACATTTTCTCTTCCTCTTATTGTACTATAAATAAGGTTGCTTCTTATAATAAAGTATGCTTTTGTTCACAGTCCACTGCATCCTCTGCATCCCTGGTTCACATGCCTCTGCATCCCCTGTGTCCTGATTTCTTCTGCACCTATACCTTGGGATCCCCAAGCCCATCAGGCTTGAATTGTGGTCACTGACCCGTGGCAGGCCTGCACAACAAACACTTTACTAACTCCCTCATTGTCATGTCTTTTTTTCATTCCCTACATTGATATAGTATGTGGAAATTTCATTTATGAAGAACTGTTATGCACA